GTGAACGAGCAGTGCGCTGGGGCCAAGCTGCTGGAGCGCTGCAAGAGCTCGGACACGAAGGCGCGGTCTCGCTGGCGCCGCCCGAGCCGCCGCCGTGTTTGTAGATTTTCGGTACAATCTGCGCCGTTCCTCCGAGAACCATTCCGGCCAGATGTCGTGGACGGAGTCCACGGGTCAGCCCTAGTCAGCTACAGCGCTGGGGTCAGCGCGTGCGAGAAGAGCGAGCAGTGGCAGCGGGCTTTGGTGCTGCTCAGCGAGATGTTGGGAGCGAAATTAGAGCCCAACGTTATCTATACTACAATACCGGGATCAGTGCGTGCAACAGCCCCTCGAGTGGACTCGGCCCGGCCCCCGGCGCTCCTGGGGCGCTCCTGGGGCCCTGGTCCGTCGCCGGCGCTCCCGGAACGGCCTTGGTCCGTCGCCGGCGCTCCCCGAAGGGCCCTCGCCCGCTCGTCACGGATCCACGAGAGCCTCGAGCGAGCTCCGAAACAATCCCCCTAGGTCCCCTACAGGCCCGAGCGGCCCCAGAGGCTCTCTTGACGACCCCGAGAAAGCCTCACGAGGCAAAAAACATTAATTTTCCATTGATTTTTGACGATATTTCCAGTTCGGGCTCTTTCCAGCCGGAACGGCCCCAGAGGCGCCGCGACTCGTTTCAAGACCGCCCATGAGGCCCCCAAGAGAGCCCCAGAACGGCCCAAGAGTGTTCCAAGACTGCCCAAGGCGGCCCCAAGCCGCCCCAAGAGAGCCCCAAGAGGTCCCCGAGACCTCCCGTGAGGCCCCCAAGAGAGCCCCAGGACGGCCCAAGAGTGCCCCGAGACTGCCCAAGACGGCCCCAAGCCGGCCCAGGAGGGCCCCGAGACGGCCCCAAGCCGCCCCAAGAGAGCCCCAAGAGGTCCCCGAGACCTCCTATGAGGCCCCCAGGAAGGCCCCAGGACGGCACCAGAGTGCCCCAAGACTGCCCACGACGTTCCAAGCCAGCCCAAGACGGCCCCAAGAGGGTCCCCAGACACCCCCAGGAAATCCCAAAACGGCTAGACTGCTCAAGACGGACCCAAGCCGACCTAAGGCGGCCCGAAGAGGCCCCCGACGGCTCTCAAGAGAGACCCAATGCAGTCACAGGAGCTGCCACGACGGCCCCGCAGATGTCGGCGCCAGCTCCTGGAGGTACAGAGCCCATACCAGCACGTTCGGGGAGGGCGAGCTGTGGCATCCTGCCGTGGCGCTGTTCCTCCCCGTTGCCAACGCGGCGAACACTGACTCCAGGAGCCGTCGTCGCCGTCGCCGTCCGTCGTCTTCGCGGGCGATCGTCGTCGTCCTCATCGCCGAGTCCCTCCTCCCCTTTTTCCTTCATCTCACCTCCCTCCTTCCCTTTCCCATTCTCGTTCACCTGCCGCTCTTCGCGGGCGAGCCCGACGTCATAGCGGCGGTTAGCTGCGACCCTGGATGCCCCTCGGGAAACGGCGGCCGTTCGCCCTGGCCAGGTCCACGCGGGGAGCAGCAGAGTCCATGGTCACGAAGCCTCCCGCGGGAGCTCAAGGTACTCTTGCATCCCGGTGCTATCGGCCATGGGCCGTCTGCCGCCACCCCTCGTGCACGCTCCGTCTTCACTCAACCCAGAGCGGCTGCGGGGAGTAGCAGAGACTACGGGCACGTGACCTCCCACGGGGGCTCAGGGTTCTCTTGCATCCCGGTGCTGTCTACAAGAGCGGCGGCGTTCGCCACGACCCTGGATCCACACGGGGAGCTGCTGGGACTACGGGCACGAGACCGCCGCGACCCTGGATCCATGCGTGGAGTAGCAGAGACTACGGGCACGGGACCTCCCACTGGGACTCAGGGTACTGTTGCATCCCGGTGCTGTCGCCTGGCCGCGTGCCCGACCTGGCTAGGTCTCAGTTTTGCACTTGCACTCCGGAGCCTTTTCGGCTCCTTTTAGCACGGGGTTCGCCGCCAGCCCGGCATGGTAGGTGTGACGAAACGTCATGTCTGCTCGGTCAAGCACTGTGGCTCTCGCACGCGGAGCCTCGACCCAGCGGACCACACGCGCCCGCTGTGCAAGGAGCATGGCGGCGAAGACGCGGACGCGTCGGCGAGGCTCGTGGGCCTTCGGCAAGGGGCCCGCAACGTCCACGAAGAACAGCTTCACCAGGTCGCCGTGTTGGCTGCGTTCGCGAACGCTGCGGCGGTAAGCACAGTGGAAAAAGTCCACGGCCAGCAAACAGCGAACGCACTCTTCCAGAAGGTGGCTTCGGACCCCCAGGTCCTGAAGTTTTTACAACACGACGAGTGGACAGAGCACGCTCGTGGCGAGGCGAACTTCGCTTTGAACGCCACGGACTTGTACCTCAGGGACTTCCTCCACCACACCCAGTTCTCTGAACAACTCTTGCACCTGTTCGTCACACGGCTACACTTCAACGCGGACGGAGCCAGCAAGACCCTTTTCTCCGACTACGAGCGGATGTTTGGACAGCCTCTGGCCGAGGGCAAGACGTTCAGTCGAGCCACCTTCCTGGAGGCTGCCCTTTCCCACAACATCCCAAGCCACTACCCGCACTACAAGCTGCAGCTGTACAACAACGAACGCAACCGACAGCTCTCCAACGGCACCGTCGCCGACACGCACGACACGAAGAAGTACAGCTTCCAGTTGCGCGTGTTGGCGGGGTGGCTCGACGAGCTGCTCCGGTCTCGAGCCTTCAGCAAGACGGCGGCCGCCGTCATGGGCGGCACCTCCTTGGACAAAGCGCTCCGGACGAAGTTGTTCGTTAACACGGAGTGGCACCGGATGCTCATAGGGCGCGATGTGACGGCCGTCAACCCCGAGGCAGCCGCCCGCGGCGGCTTCTCTTTGACCACGAACACCTTCGTCGGGGGCGGCGCCAAAGAGGTCCTCGAGCGCTGCACGGCCCCAGGCACTGACTGGTCCGCCCGGCTCGTCGCGGTCCACGAGAGCCTCACGCCCCTGCTGTTCGGCGTAGACTTGTACTGCCCACGGCGCACCGTCAGCCAGACCGAGGACCAGCTGTGCGAGCTCCGCCGGTGCGCCCGTAGCGGGCCCTCGAAGCCACAGGGCCGTTATCCCACATGACAACTAAATCTTTCCCTCCCGGGCCCGTTTTTCCGACGGCGGGTTCCTTTTTCTTCCCCGCGGGCCCAGTCCTCTCCCCGTCCTCGGGAGCGTGCTCTGCCCGCTTCCGTGGGGTTGTCTTTTTCCTGGTGCCGAAGGCCGGAGCCCTGGCTCCGGCCTTCGGGCGCGGTCTGAATGGCTCTGTCGCTTCGTGGGCCCACGAAGGTGGGAGACCCGGGAGCAGAAGAAGCGCGGCCGCTTGCGCAAGGGCGGGGCGCGCGTCGTCGACGCGCAGCTCACCCGGCGCGGCCGCCTTCGCAAGCACTGGCGGGCGCTTGGGTTCAAGAACAAGCCCAGCCCGCCCGACTACCTCGCCAACGCCGGCGTGGTGAGGGCGAGGGCGTTGGACCTCCGGTGAAACGCCTCGCCTGCGCTTGGCGACCAGCGCTTCCTCCCTCCTTTCCCCTGCCTCTTCTTTGCCTCGCCCTATTGCCACTCCTCGCTTTCCCTCCTTCTCTGCACCGCGTCCTCTCCCTCTCTCTCTCTCTGTATCTCTGTCTCTCATTTTCTCTCTTTCGCCCCGCCCCGGCCTTGATTGGACGGGCGCCGCTCTCATGCTCTCAGGCACCAGCCGCGCCAAATGCTGGTGACCGCGGCCTCCTCCGTCGGCGGGGGACCACTGGCGCTGCCCTCTGTCTGTCTCTCTCTCTCTCTCTCTCTCTCTCTCTCTCTCCTCGCTTCCTATCTTCTCTCTCTCTCTCCTCTCTCGCTCTCTCTCGCGCTCTTTCTGACTCTAACCAAATTACTATACACATATATTCTCTCTCTTCTCTCTCTCTCTCTCTCTCTTTTTCTCTCTCTCTCTCTCTCTCTCTCTCTCTCTCTCTCTCTCTCGCGCTCTCTTTCTCTCTCTCTCTCTACTCTCTCTCTCTCTCCTCTCTCTTGTCTCTCGCTATCTCTCTCTTCCTCTTTCTCCTCTCCTTTGGTCGCCCCTCTGTCTCCCCCCCCTCTCTCCCCCCTCTCCGCTCCTCCCCGCGGTCCGTCTCCTCCTCCGTGCGCAGGGTCGGGCCAGAGCCCTGGGAGACTGCGCTTCGCGCCCGCTTTTTCCGAGAGTCGAGCACGCGGCGCCGACGGCACCGAGACACGCGCGCCTTCGCCCGGGGGAACGGGCAGGGTACAAAAAAATGGCCCTGAGCATTTCATCCTGCAATGCTGCGCATCCTGCAATGCTGCATGTGCTGCTTGCACATCGCTGTGCCGTTCCCGTGCGTTCCCTTAAAAAATACTCAAAAACGAACGTTTTCCCCGTGTGTCCCTTGGAATGGCGCCGAAACCAGTAGGAATGGCTATATGCCGTCGACGCCGCCGCCCATGCAGGGCCGTTTTCGCGAACCTCCCAGGACAGCGTTTTCTGAGAATTTCCGAAAACATAGTGTGTTTGAGGCCATTCCAAGGGACACACGGAGAAACCGCTCGAGTTTTCAATGGATTGTCCGACAACCACCGGGCGGGGCCTTTCACTCGCAGCTTACCATACAGGCTCCCGCCATTCCGCCCTGATCGTTGTCATCATCATCATCATCGTCATCACCATCATCATCATAAATATCACCGCCATCTTCATCATCGCCCTCGTCATCACCACCATTATCATGAACATCATTGCCGTCATCGCTAAGACGACCCTATCCGTGCCTTTCATGATCACCATGACACCCGTCGCAAGGTGCAGGACCATGCTTTCCTCGCACAAATCGTGATTCCAGAGGGAGTTCCAAATACAGGATCACATCGGAAGCGACGCATGGGGTGTCGTTTCCTCGCCACGCTTGTGCATTCGGTAGCCTCCCAATTGGCTCCAGCATCCTCTGCGCGTTCTCGCGCCCGCTCACGACCATGGCTTTCTCGCCGGCAGCGAAGAAGCGCAAGGGCGACAACGCGGCCAGCGTCGTCGGCAGCCCCGGCGCAGCGTCCGCGCAGAGTGGCGCCCAAGTGCGCGGCCCTCTCGATTTGCAGGCCCGCCCTCCCGGACAATCCGAACGTTTCCTTCGGACGATGTTCACGCCCAGGCCCCCAACCAACCTTTTCACTCGCCAGGTGTTCCTTCGTCCTGCGCCGCCTCCCGTCGCACGAATCTTTACCTCGCGGGGCCCTCCAGCTTCTTGCTGTTGCACCCCCCCTCCCCGGCCCCTCCCAGGCGCTGAGCCAGCGCGCCGCAGTCGGCATGTCCCCGAAGGCGCCAGCGAAGAAGCCCAACAGCGCGCCGATCGAGGTCTTCGTCTGGCTCTACACCAAGTGCGGGTCGGACGTGTTTCCCGGGTTCCCGCAGGCGGATCTCTTCGGCTTGCGTCTGCGGCACGAGGCTTTCCCCGCGGTGGATTCGGACATCCTCGCTTCCTTCAAAATGTTCCTGGGCGAAAAGAATGCGGAGAACGACGATTACCCGGCCGACCTGAAGGAGCTGGAGGACTACGAGCGCATCATCATCTCCCTGACCCAGACGCCCAAGGACGTCGAGGGCCGCCGCGTCCAGACCAACATGCCGCTCAAGGACACCGCCGCCCGCAAACCTCACCCTTTCGCCTCCTGACTCGCGTTGTCCTGAATATTCGGGGACAACCGATACCAGCACGAATAGGCCATCATATGTAAAGTCCCCGGCTTCCACAGGACTCCGGAATGACAAGTCCGCCCGAGGCCGTCAGCTGGTCGACGGCCATCGGTGTCTTTGTCCCCACACCTCGCCTTATAGCGACCCTCGGAGGAACGCAACCGACCCGCCTCAATAACGCAACCCAATCCCCCCCCCTCCGTCTTGCTATCCTGTCAGGAGTGGAGCGTCATGTTCTGGACCGACGAGCCCTTCCACTGCATGCGTCTCATCGCGGACTTCTCGTGGTGGAGGGCCCAGCACCGCCGCCCCGCGGACAAGAGCCCCTGGCCGGACCTGAGCACTCTCAAGATGGTGGTGAACCCATTCGTCAACGTGTCAATGGACGGCTTCAACACGGACAACATCACCATGCCCATGACGGTGAACGAACAGAGCACCACCTGGTTTTTTTTTTTTTTTTTTTTTCTTTTTTTTTTTTTTTTTTTTGTTTTTGGTTTTTTTTTTATTTTTTTTTTTTTTTTTTCTTTTTTTTTTTTTTTTTTTTTTTCTTTTTTTTTTTTCTATTTTTTTTTTTTTTTTTTTTTTTTGTTTTTTTTTTTTTTTGTTTTTTATCTTTTTTTTTTTTTTTTTTTTTTTTTTTTTTTTTTTTTTTTTTTTTTTTCACTTTTTTTTTTTTTTGTTTTTTGTTTTGGCAGTGCTCCATATTCGAGAGCTCCCCACCTGGTTCCTCTAAAATGGTTGAGGTCCGTGTCCAGGTGATCGACCAGAAGACCGTCTTCTTCGCTTGGGAGGGCCGCACCTTCCCCTACCGCGAGCGCTTCGACTTGAAGCGCATTGGCCGGGAGGACAACGTTCGCATATTGCCCCAGGCCCGCGCGGACGTGAGCATTGCCGACAACGCAGCCTTCATTCGCGACGTTTTCAAGCAGGGCGTTCTCCGCGATCTGTTGGTGCACCTCGTGCTGGAGGAGAGCTCGGTTCCCGCCGACGGGCCCGTCAAGGAACTGCTGGACGAGTTTCGCGGAAACCCGCAGATTTATTTCAACGCCTTCTAAAATGTGACGGCCGCGCGAACCTCGCGCGCTCTTTTTTGGTCAGCCCGATGCCCGAGCGCTCGGAGGCCCCTGCTTGCAAGGGGGCACCTCTGCGACTCGCGCGCCGGCACCCCGCCTTAGGTTCAATGCTATTCTTTGTTCGCTGCCTTCTCCGCAACGTCCTCATCGGCATTTCAGCGCGGCCGTGCTTTGCGCGAGGCGTGGCTGGCGCCAGGCACCCTGGCGCGCATCCATTACCTCGCCCATCGCAATCGGCGCTCTCGCCGTTCTGCGTGCGGAAGTACGTGCAGAGCGAGTCCACGGCCGCTTGATTGTTGCCCAGCCTTAGCGCGCCAGCTGAGCACCCAGGACTTCTGAAGCCAGCGACGTGTTTTTGTTTCAGCGCACCAGCCTCGTGGCAACGTACCGTTGAAAACACATACTGTCGGCCCCCGCGCACACCTAGAAAAGCTAGCGTTCTTCCCGTGTGTCCTCGGTACTCGGCCCAAAAGCCTTAGGAAATTACACATTTTGTGATTGGCGCCGCCACGTTTGCATCGTCCATAGGGCCTTTCCAAGACGGCACATTCGGGCAGTTCTCGAAAACACAGCGTGTTTCATCCCATTCCAAGGGACACACGAGAAAAACCTTAGTGAATCCGACGGTTCTCTCAGGCCCCCAGGAAACCCTTGGGACTTGACTCCATGAATCCCGGTGTGTTCTCCATTGACTCCGTTGTCCGTCCTGCGGTCTTGTCGGCTTGCGACTTCGACGCTGACGAGCATATGAACCCAGCAGCAGTCATGTTCTTTTGTAGGCTCGATGGTCCCCCGAAGAAGACCCAAACATTTCATCGCCTCGCCCGGGGCCTCAGTGCCCTTACTCCCTGCGCCGCCCCCATCTCCCTGTACTATTCCCGCATGTGGCCAGCCCCCCGCGGGCAACCAGCGCGTCGTCCGTAGTCACTTCGGCTCAAACGCTTTCTCCGCGCTGGGATGCCCGCGCGCGCCCGCAAACGCCCGTGCGCGGCCGGCAGCGGACCCACATTTGCGGGGCAACGATGGCAGGGAACTTTCCGGGCGCACCAGCGCTGGATAACAGCGCACTCACGACCCCCCGCGGAAGTGGGGGCGCGAGATCCCGAGGAGGCCCGCTTCGCGCACTGGGCCGGGCTTCAACGGGCCCGGCGCGCCTCGGGCCATCTGCGCCCTGAGTACGTGCGCGCGTTGGATGCGTGCCCTCACTGGTCATGGGATGCCGATTGGGACGCCCGTTTCGATGCACTGCAACGATGGCACGCAAAGCACGGCCGGATGCCCCGACAAGGAGCTGCTGCTGCAGATTTCGAGGAGAGGAGCCTGAACAAGTGGGCGCGACAACAGGAACACCTCCTGCGCTCGCGCCGGCTGACTGAGGGGCGCGCGCAGGCGCTCCAGAGGTGGATCCCGTGGGGCGCCGGTCAGAAGGACAGTGTTTGGAACCAGTCTTACGACAGCTTGCGTAACTGGCTCCGTGCGCACGCCAACCGGTGCCCGACGAGAGCGAACAACGCTTCCAAGACAGAGAAGTCTCTGCGTACCTTCGCAGACAACTGCCGCCGTTTGTACACCCGATCACCGGCCTCCGATGCAGGCATTGCCGTTCGTCGGTGCGAGCTCCTGCGCGCTCTGCCGGGATGGGACACGTTCGCTATTTTTCAGTTTATCTTCTTTTATTTTGTTTGTATTCTCTTTTATTTTCTTTACTTTTCTTTTTATTTTATATTTTTTCTTTTTTTGGTTCTTCTTTTTCTTGTGCTCTGGATTTTCTTATTTTTTTTTTTTTTTTTTTCTTTCTACCCCCTTTTTTTTTGTTTTTGCTTTTTTCCCCCCTTTTTTTTTTTATATTTGTTTTGTCGCGGATGTTTTTTTTTCTTTTTTTTCTTATTTTTTTAGTTTTTCGTTTTTTTGTCTTTTTTTTTTTGTTTTCTCGCGGAGCAGACGTTCTTGGGATAGCAATTCCAGAGACTTCAGGAGTGGCTGCGCACGCACTGCGGCGCATTCCCGGACAGCATGGGCACGTCCTCGACATCGCCAGAAGAACTGCGCCTTGCTGGGTGGATCCAGAGGCAGCGCGCTGCGTACCACTCTGTTCCGCGCCGCGCCGCTGGGCTTCACGACGATCAACAAGGCGTTAACGTTGTCCGGCTCTTGCCTGCCGACCTGCAAAACAGACTGGAATCTTTACCCGGGTGGTCGTGGCACAACCAACACAGACGACGGTGCACTTTCATCCTCCCGTCGACTCCCCCGCGCCCCTGCGGCGCCGACGCAACGACCAGGCCGCATGCGACCGGCATTTTCTATTGTCCCCTGCACGCGCGGGTGGTCTCCGCGACAGCCCCGCAGCGGCCTCCTCCACAGCAGCCGCCCGGAGCGCCGACCCTGGTTCCGCCGCCCCCAGCCGCGTGTGCACACGACCACGTGCGACGACGCTTCTCCTACAAGCGTCCACCCATGCCCAGAACCGCGGTGGACCATGGCCCGGCCGGCGGGGCCTCCTCCCCGGCGGCGCCCTCCAAGTGCGCCTGGGCCTCGGGGTGCGCTGCGCCTCCCGTTGCGAGCTTCGCGGGTCTTCGATATTGCTTGACCCATGACCGCATACTTCGTGCTGAACGCCCCGCTGTCGCATCTATTGCGGACTACAGGGACAGCTTCTTCGTCCCGCACCAGGGGGGCGCCCTCGCGAGCGTCTGTGACCAATGCGGCTCCCACAACTTCGAGGAAGAGCGGGTGCAACGAGCAAACGCTCGGACAAGCATGCTCGGGCACTTCAGCATTTGCTGCCAGAACGGCAAGATTACTCCTGCCCAGATCCGGACGCTGCCATGCCCCCCGCCAGAGCTACTCGACATTCTGCGGGGCACTTCGCGAACGCACCAAGCAGCGCGAGCCGCCCTCAAGATGTACAACCACGCTTTCGCCTTCGTGTCCTACGGGGCGTCTTGCTTTGTAGACCAGGCTCCAGGGCGCGGCCCACCTGTTGTGATCTGCCACGGCACCGTATACCACAACTCGGGCTACCTGTTCCCCCGGGACGGCGACGCCCCCACGTTTGCCCAGGTGTACCTGTACGACCACAACGAGGCCGTGAAGGCGCGCACGGACAACCCTTATCATTCCGGGATCAACGCCGACATCGTGGAGCACTTGCAGCGCATGCTCGACCGGGTCAACCCGTACGTGCACCAGTTCCGACACATGCGGGACATCGTTCGCAACCACAACCCCACCAACGTGCAATTGTGCATTTCCCAGACGGAGGGCCAGGACATGCGCCGCTACAACAAGCCCCAAACTTACGAGCCAGCCGTGGTGTTCCGCAGCTCCGACGGCGTGCTTCACGGCACCCGGGATTTAGCTGTGTGGCCTCGACTAGATGATACAGAAGTCATCAGAATATGGCCCGAAAACGAAAACCTCGACCCCATGGCGTACCCCTTGCTGTTCCCTTGCGGGGGCCCGGGATGGCGCCACGGACTGCAACACGCAGGCCGCCAAACAGCTTCTCAAACGACATTGACGTGTGCCCAGTTCTACGCGTACCGCTTGATGCTCCGCGTTTACGTGCCCGACACTGACGATGCCGCGCAAGGTCGTTGGCCGACGACACAGCCGTCACTGCCGCATTCTGCAGGCTTGCTTTTCCAGACATGGCTCTGCGACGCTTGGAGCCGAGCAGAAAGCAACCGTCTGGCGTGGTACGCGCAGCACCAGGGCGACATTAGGGCGGAAACGTACCAGGGCCTCCACGACGCCGTCCACAGCGACGCTTTTCAACAAGGCCACACGAGAGTCGGCAGGAAGGTCATCCTGCCTCCGACCTTTCCGGGAGGACCCCGCGCTCTTCACCAGCATTACCTCGACGCCATGTCCATAGTGAGGGCTTTCGGGAAACCCGACTTCTTCATCACCATGACTGCGAACCCGAACTGGGCCGAGATTCAGACGGCCCTGCGCGAGGGGGAAAGTGCTGCAGGGCGCCCGGATCTCGTGGCTCGCGTGATCCGAACCAAGATGCAGCATCTGCTGGACCTCCTGTTGCGAGAGAGGGTGCTAGGCGGTGTAGTTGCCAACTGCTTTGTCGTGGAGTTCCAAAAACGGGGGCTCCCGCACGTGCACCTCCTCATCATAATGCAAGCTTCCGACAAGCCCAGGTCGGCCCTAGACATCGATGAGCGCATCAGCGCCGAATTGCCTGATCCAGCGGACCCGGAGCAGTCAGAGTTATTGAGAATCATAGTGGCTTCCCAAATCCACGGTCCGTGCGGCTGCCGCAATCCGCGCGCTCCGTGCATGCAGGAGGGGGCGTGCACCAAGCGGTGCCCGCGGGAGTTCACCGAGACCACAGACATGCACAGAGACGGGTACCCAGTGTACCGACGACGGAAGTCGTCGCCGACGGCGATGAAGAATGGAATGCAGGTCGACGCCCGAGACGTTGTGCCGTACAACCCGTACTTGTCCAGAAAATTGGGGTGCCACCTCAACGTGGAGTACTGTGGCAGCATCCGTTGCGTCAAGTACCTTTTCAAGTACGTGCACAAAGGGCACGACCGGGCCGCCCTGGAATTCGACGGCGACGAAATCAAGCACTTCCTCGACGCTCGGTACGTGGGGCCTCCAGAAGCTTGTTGGCGCTTGCTGGCGTTCCCCTTGCATGGGAAATCGCACACCGTCGAACGCCTGGCCGTGCACCTGCGCGGCGGCGAGACGATATACTTCCAGGACGGGTCCGAGGCGGCCGCTGTGGCCGCGGGCAGCGAGACCACCTTGACGGCGTGGTTCCGCTTGAACGCAGAGCCGCCCGACGGATTTACGCCTCCGGCTCGCTCGCTGCATTACGCCGAGGTGCCGCAGTTCTTCTCCTGGAGCCGCAGCAGGAAACTCTGGCAACGCAGGCGGGGCGCTGGTTCAGCTGGACGAGTACTCGGGCGTCTGGCCACTGCCACGCCGACAGAAGGTCCCAGATGGTATTTGTATCTATGCAGCTCGCTTCGCGACTGCGCCAGGCACGCGACGCACGCTTTCTTCTGCCTTCAAAGGTCCACGATCCCCGTACCCGACCCACCCCCATCCCCCTCGGCGCAATCTGGGATCCCACTCTCGCCGCCCGGGGCCCCGCGCCTCGGGCTCGCGGACTACTCTTGCACGTGACTGGGCCCACCAGTTTCTCGGACCTCGCCACCGTCGTCCATTCGGACGGCAATCGCCAAACATTCTACCAGCGGCGATGGAACGACGACACCTCCACGTGGGAGAACTCGGACGTGCCAGATTACCGGCGAGCATGCGAGGAGCAAGGCTTTGCGAACTCCAGCGACGAGTACGCCCGCTGCATGGAGGAGGCCGCTCGCCCACGGAGCGCCCCAGCGCTGCGCCGTCTCTTCGCCATGTTGCTCCTCCATTGCGAGCTCGCCTCCCCCGTGACCTTGTGGCAGCGATTCGCGAATGACCTCTGCGAGGACTTCCAGCGGCACCTCAGCGAGACCGACTCGGAGAACGCAGCGCTTCTGCACGTTCAAGAGGCACTCAGCCAGGCTGGGAAGACGCTGACGGACTTCGGATTGCCAACGCCCACGGGCCACGACGTCGCGGGCCTGCAGCCCCGAGATGTTCGTAGGGAAACCGCCTACGACGCAGAAGAGGAATGGACATCTGCGCGGTCCCATCGGTCTATGATGAACGACGCGCAAGCGATCGTGTTTGACCAGGTCGCCGACGCCGTCATCGGAGCCCGTCCGCTCGCCGTGTTCATCGACGGCCCCGGCGGCACGGGCAAGACCTTTGTGTACAAGGCCATCCTCCACCACGTGCGTGGCATGGGAGAGATCGCCCTGCCGTGCGCTTGGAGCGGGATCGCTGCTGTCCTCCTGCCAGGGGGACGCACATGCCATTCCCGCTTCGGACTACCAGTGCCGCTGCCCTTGGACGACGTCGCTTCGAACATCGGGTTCCAGACGAGCCGCGCCGAAATCCTGCGACGAGCTAGAGTCATCCTCTGGGACGAGGCGCCGATGGCCCCTCGGGGAGCACTGCAATGCGTCGATGCACTGCTGCGAGACGTTACCCAGACGGACGCGCCATTCGGCGGCAAGGTGGTGATCCTCGGCGGCGACTTCCGCCAGGTGCTCCCCGTCATCCCACGGGTTGCCCGCGAAGACCTCGTTCAGCATTCGCTGCTGAACCACCCTTTGTGGCGCGCGGGCGTTGTGGAGGTCCACGCCCTGACGGAGAACATGCGGGCCAGGGGCGACGCCGATTGGCAGCGTTTCCTCTTGGACATCGGAGACGGCCGCGCACCGACCTTTCCGGACATCCACCCCGAGGCCGTGCGCCTGCCCGACAACATCGTCGCCCCCAGCCATTGGGGGCCGGAGGACCTCGCGCGCGCCATCTACGCCGACATCGCTGCGTCAGCGGCGAGGTGCGTCGGGGGCGACGTGGCCGCCGAAGACTTGCAGTACTTCTGCGATAGGGCGATTCTCACTCCGAAGAACGCGACGGCCGACTCAGTGAACGTCGCTATATTGCGCGAAGCTTTCCCGGACACGACCGTCACGTACTACAGCGTGGACGACGTGGACGCCGCGTCGCCGGCGGAGCGGGACCTCTGGCCGACGGACTTCTTGAACAGCCTCACGCCGTCTGGACTGCCGCCCCACGAGCTCGCGCTCGCGCCGGGGGCCCTGGTCATGTTGCTCAGAAATTTAGACGCCGACGCGGGCCTGGTCAACGGAGTTCGCGCCATCGTCGTCCGCGCGCAGCCCCGGGTCCTCGACGTGCTCCTCGTGTCTGGCACACAAGCGGGCACCAGAGCATACATTCCCAAGATCGCCCTTGCGCCTCGGAACCCGGACTTGCCGTTCATCTTGCGTCGCTTCCAATTTCCCGTGCGGCTGGCATGGTGCATGACAATAAACAAAGCGCAGTGACAGACGTTGCAGCACGTCGGGTTGTACTTGCCAGACCCCGTGTTCTCCCACGGCCAGCTATACGTGGCCTTCAGCCGGGTCGGGGCGTCCAACCGCATCCTCGCACTGGTCCCCACCACTGACGAACACGGAGCGCGGGAAGCTTCGGATACATATCCCACTGGCACGTACACGAAGAACGTCGTCTGGCCAGAAGCGCTCCTGAGCCACCCCCGCCCAGCGCCATCGCCTGCCCACCCCGCCGCGCGCGCAGATGCAGAGATGCCGCTCGCGGGCGCCGCTTCCAGCAGTGACGACGCACCGGCGTTCCTGGGCGAGGGCTCCGAGGCGCCGCCGAGCCCCGCTGCTCGGCCGCGACGCTTCGCGCGGGACCACGGGCCAGACGACATCGATGAGTTCGGGCCGGCGCCCCAGACGATGCTTCTGCTAACGTCGTCCTCGCACCGCTGCGCCAGCGCGGAGCAGTCGTGGACGCCCCAGCGCCTCCTGAGACGCTGTTCCAAACATGCGCAGCCACAGAGAACGACAATCCCAGTGCAGATTCCGCCAACCCCATGCCCTCAACACAGCTACGATGCGAGGCCGCCAGCTCATCGAAGCAGAGGGAGCGATTCACCGGATTCTTCGAGCGGCAGCGCGGCGCCCATTGCGGCATGCACGCGCTCAACAACGCCCTGGGCTTCGCGCTGCTCGACGAGGGGACCATGGAGGCATCCGCCCATGCATTCATCGAGCATGCCGCTTTAGACGGCCTCCCACAGCGCCTGCGCGACCACATGAGCCCCTCTGGAGGTTATTCCGAGGCGGTGCTGGCGTTTGTGCTTCAACGATGCGGAAACAGTTTCTCCTTGAACCTCAATGCTCCCGTTCTACCACAGGACGCGATGAACATTTTTGCGCCTAACGTGGTCGGGGTCGTGGTAAACCAGAACAACGCACATTGGATTGCGGTGAAGGCTGTGTCCGGCCGAATCTGGAAGTTGGACAGCGCACCAGGTGATGGACGTAGTGTTGCGGAGCCTGTACTCTGTGAGCTTAGCGACTTCCAGAAGCTCCTGCGCAGACATCCCACCGCGTACCCACTGCTCGACATCCGGCCGCGCACGTAGAGCCTGAACGACGTTGACAAATCGCATGTCCTGAAAACACTGGCCTTCGGCGCACCCCGCCAACGTGCCTTGGCGGTGGGGCACTTTCTCCCACATGCTTTTCGGGGTTTCTTCTGACTTTTGGAGCTCTCCGGAGATCATTTCCGAGTTCTCTTGGAACATTTCGAGTGCGTTCTACCAGGGCGGGCGATCTTTGGGCCCGCCACGACTTTCCCTAGAGCCCCGCGACATTCCCACATGGACCGCCGCTCGCTTTGAAAGCTTCCACATGGGCCCGTCCATGACGTCGCCGCACATACCTCCGAAACCCAACGTTTTCCCCGTGTGTCCTTTCAAATCGGCCCAAACACATTAGGAAAATGCGCATTTCGCTGCTGGCGCCGTGCCGACCGCATCGTCCAAAGCACTTTGCAAATACGACAGGTTATGGCAATTCTCGAAAACACCATGCGTTTCAGGCGATTGCAAGGGACACACGGGACAGCGCATCGTGAATCCAACGTTTTTCTCCACCCGACAGGTTGGGGTCGTTAGATTTCTCAGAACAGACCTCCCGGCCACACCCCCACCCTGCATACCGCGGCCGCCAGACCCCGAGTTGTCCCAGTGCTCCCTGGGGCTCCCGCCCCATCCCGCCTCGCGCCCTCGACGAACACGACAGAATACAACATGACAGCGCAGAACATGACGAACGCGACAGAACACAACATCACAGAACAGAACAGAGCATGACAGAACATGACAGAACAGCACATGCCAGAACAGAGCATGACAGAAGACATCCGCCTTCTTCCCCACCCGACAGGTTGGGGTCGTTAGATTTCTCAGAACAGACCCCCCGGCCACACCCCCACATTGCATACCGCGGCCGCCAGACCCCAAGTTGTCCCAGTGCTCCCTGGGACCGGCCACGCTGTCGGGCCACCAGGACCGGCTGCACGACGCCGCCTTCTCGCCCGACGAGCAGCAGGTGATCGCATACTCCGCGGGAGGAAGAGCAGGAAGAAGAGGATGGTGGGGATCGCTCGAAGCACATAATTTTTTTCGGGCCGCAGCTTCCCTGGGACTCTCTCCATCGATCCCTCTTGGGGCCTCTGCGTCACGTCTTCTGGCAATGTTTGCCTGTCATGAGGCCATCGTGGGCCGTCTTGCGGGCCTTGGGCGGTCTTGGACCAATATTGGAGCGGTCCTGGCCGTCTTAGAGCGATGGGACCCAAAAAGCTCGAACCCCAAATAGCTGTACCAACGTATGGACAAGCTCTTACTCTTGCCTCGTGAGGCCCACTTGGGAAGTCTCTTGGAGGCCTCTTGGGTCATCTTGGAAGCCTCTAGAGCTGTCTGGGGGCCATCTTCAGAGTCTTGAAGCGCTCTTTGACCGTCTTCGGCGCTTGGTGAGGAGCCCCGCGAAAGTCCCCGGCACGTCTGGGGACGTGCAGCCGTCCCAGAGACTATGCGAGACACGCCGAACCGCGCAGGAACGCCCGATAACGTCGGGGACATTGGTGGTTGAACCACTGGCGCCATCTCCTTTGCCGCCGCATCGTCCGACATGCCGTTCCTCTCTCCATTCCTTCGCCGTCATCCCCGATCTGACCCTTCCCGTCCCCTCTGCGCCCTCTTCGCCTCCGCCGGTGACGTCCTCACCTGCTCGGAGAGCCGCTGTTGAAGACATGGACTGACGGCCGAAAAAACACTGCACCTTTTTTGGTGGATTTTTTTCACCCGTTTTTGTTTTCCGCAGACTTCGGCCTCTCGGGGCTTTTTCCGGGCCCAGGGCCCCTGAGGCACAGACCCGGGGCGGACAATTGCGCCGGATGGACACAGGGAGGGGTCCTGGGACGCATTTAGAGATGAGTTGCATTGCTTTTCCACGGGGTGTAGCACGAACGCCCTCCATCCACGGATATGGGCAACCTCGAGGGTCCAGTTTCTCCAGCATCTCTTCACGAAGTCGCAGCTCTGCCACTATCCATACAAACACGCGCCCTTCTTTCTCCCAGGGCCCCAACCCACAGGGTTTCCGAGCTTCGTCCGGACGTGGACACAAGGAGTGACCGTACTGGCCAAAACCCTTCAGCCCTCAAGCCACGAGGACGAATTTCAGACCCGTTGTGATTGTTCCACGATCCGACCCAGAGCGTGGCCTGCGGCACGAGAACGCCGCAGTCAAGCGCCCCTAATCCCGTTATCTGCTCTCCTCCCGCCTCCACCTCCATCCCTGCCATCCCACCCCCCAAGGAGCTTTACGGACCAGATCTTCGAGGAGCTGTTCGGCTCCGATGCTATGTTCTGCTACGCCTTCGCCGGCTCACACACACGGTGTGCGCGTCTCAGGTTCAGCACACCGTGGATTTAATCCACGGGTGCACACTAGTCAGCTACAGTGCTGGGATCAGTGCGTGCGAGAAAGGCGTGCAGTGGCAGCGAGCTTTGGTGCTGATCAGCGATATGCGGGAGGCGAAGTTGGAGGCCGACGTTGTCTCTACTACATTGCAGGGCCCAGTGCGTGCCAGAATGGCGCAGGCTCCAATGCACCAAAACCGCCCCGGGCTGGCTCCGGGCCGCCCCGGGCCGCCCAGGCAGGCTCCAGGACATGTCGGGAGGGCCCCCAGAAGCCCCCAAGACGGCCCCGGAGAGCCCCGGCACGCTTAAAGATGGGCCCAAGACGCCCGAGATTCGCCCCAGGCGGCCCAAGAGGCGTCCAAGACGCCCGAAGAGGCCTCCCAAGAGGCCTCCCAAGAGGGCCCCGAGCGACAGAAATCGTCGATTTCTACTGTGTTTTTCGATGTTTTCGGCCTCCTCGCCTCTTCGGCTTCCCGACGCTCCAAGACGGCCCAAGAAGTCCCCCCGACCGCTCCAAGACGGCCGAAGAGGACCCCAAGAGAGCCCCAAGACGGGCCAGGAGGGCCCCCAGACGGTCCCAAGACGCCCCAGGACGGCCCCAGGACGGCCCAGGAGGCGCCCAAGACGGCCCAAGAGGCACCCAAGACGGCCCCAGGAGCGGCCCAAGACGGCCCAAGACAGCCCAAGAGGCGCCGAGGCGGGCCTCAGACGGCCCCAAGACGGCCCAAGAGGCACCCAAGACGGCCCGAGAGGGCCCTAAGAGCCCCCCCGGGAGGCCCAAAAGAAGGCCGAAGAGGCTCCGAAACGGCCCCCACGAAGCCTTCAGTGGCTTCAGAATTCCCTCCAGGAGCGGGGGAGCGGACGAGAGGCGACAGGCATATCGCAGGCAAAAACGCCCCAAGAGATCCCCAAACGGCCCCCACGAAGCCCTAAGTGGCCTCAGAATTGCTTCCAGGAGGGGGGGAGCGGACGAGAGGCGACCGGCATATCGAAGGCACACAAGAACAATGATTGCCTTTCGGCCCTGCAGCCGCACCCCCCCGCGCTTGCCCAGAGACCCCTCGCCACGTCGAGCTGATGTCGTGGACGGAGTCCACAGGTCTGCCCTAGTCTCTACTACATTGCAGGGCCCAGTGCGTGCCAGAATGGCGCAGGCTCCAATGCACCGAAACCGCCCCGGGCTGGCCCCGGGCCGCCCAGGGAGGCCCCAAGACACGTCCAGAGGGCCCCAAAAAGCCCCCAAGACGGCCCCGGAGAGCCCCGGCACGCTTAAAGATGCGCCCAAGACGTCCGAGATTCGCCCCAGGCGGCCCTCGAGGCGTCCAAGACGCCCGAAGAGGCCTCCCAAGAGGCCTCCCAAGAGGGCCCCGAGCGACAGAAATCGTCGATTTCTATTGTGTTTTTCGATGTTTTCGGCCTCCTCGCCTCGTCGGCTTCCCGACGCTCCAAGACGGCCCAAGAAGCCCCCCCGACCGCTCCAAGACGGCCGAAGAGGACCCCAAGAGAGCCCCAAGACGGGCCAGGAGGGCCCCCAGACGGTCCCAAGACGCCCCAGGACGGCCCCAGGACGGCCCAGGAGGCGCCCAAGACGGCCCAAGAGGCACCCAAGACGGCCCCAGGAGCGGCCCAAGACGGCCCAAGACAGCCCAAGAGGCGCCAAGGAGGGCCTCAGACGGCCCCAAAACAGCCCAAGAGGCACCCAAGACGGCCCGAGAGGGCCCTAAGAGCCCCCCCGGGAGGCCCAAACGAAGGCCGAAGAGGCTCCGAAACGGCCCCCACAAAGCCTTCAGTGCCTTCAGAATTCCCTCCAGGAGCGGGGGAGCGGACGAGAGGCGACAGGCATATCGCAGGCAAAAACGCCCCAAGAGATCCCCAAACGGCCCCCACGAAGCCCTAAATGGAAAGCCAAGCTGGAGCCCGACGCCATCATGATTGCCTTTCGGCCCTGCAGCCGCACCCCCCCGCGCTTGCCCAGAGACCCCTCGCCACGTCGAGCTGATGTCGTGGACGGAGTCCACAGGTCTGCCCTAGTCAGTTACAACGCTGGGATTAGTGCGTGCGAGAAAGGCGGGCAGTGGCAGCGGGCTTTGGCGCTGCTCAGCGAGATTTGGGAGGCGAAGTTGAGCCCGAGCATCATCAGCTACAGCGCTGCGATCAGCGCGTGCGAGAAATGCTGGCAGTGGCAGCTCGCTCTGGCGCTGCTCAACGAGATCCACGGATCGACGTTAGAGCCCAACGACATGTCTCCAACAATGCCGGGCGCAGTGCGTGCCGGAATGGTGCCCGACTCGAGTGGGTCAAACACGGCCCAGGTGGGCCCCGACGCGCCCCCGGGCGGTTCCAAGGCACCCCCAGGCGGCGCAGAGGAGATTTTTGAGGACTCCGTGCGGCCCAGGAGAGCCTCCAGCAGGCCCCCCGAACGAGTCCAAAAGTCCCAAGACGCTTCAAGATGGGGCCAAGGCGGCCCGAGCATTCTGCTTTTCGCAGGGGCCACGAGAAGCGAAAATCGTAAATCCCCCTGATTCCCAACTGAGGTGTTGGCCCCTCGTTCTGAATCAGCAGCGCCCCGCGTCTCCTTCCTCCTCCTCCTTCTTCTCCTCTTCCTCTCATCGTCATCATCATCATCATCGTCATCATCATAATTATCATCATCATCA